GTTTATCCCGCCTGCCTGCTGAGAAAGCAGCAATAGACCTGGCAGCACGGCCCCTGGCCTCATGGAGTTTACATCCTAGAGCGTGAGGGATTTCACAAGAAATACAGAGCAGCACACCTCCGTGTGGTCTTCTCTAGATCTCAGAAAATGCATGACTGTACTTTGACCACAGTAACAAGGAAATACCAGAAACAATAGATGACAATATTGAAATCGCATCAAGTGCTATCAAGAAATGAAGTGGCACTGGGCCAGAGTGTGGTGTGGTAGGGTGTGGTGGATGTCACATAGGGTGGTCAGGAAAAGTCTTCGTAAAGAAGAGACAGCTGATAGGGCCAGCAGGTGGCGTGGTGGGTAAGGCGCTGGACTCCCACCTGGCCTCAAGTTTTGCTTTCTCACTTTCCCTCTCTCTGTGTCTCTCTCTGGTCAAATTAAAAATAATAAATAAAATTAAATAAATAATTCTTGAAGAAGGAGTAGGAAAGAAGAAGGAAGAAAGAAGGAAGAAGAAGAAAAAGAAGAAAGAAGGAAGAAGAAGAAAAAGAAAGGAAGAAGAGAGAAGAAGAGAAGAAGGAGAACAGACTTGGATGAGAAGGAACCAGGCAGAGGAAAGCCAGGTGCAGGTGGGGAAGCATCCTGCAGGTAAGAGCCACAAAGGGAGAGGCCGCCTTTAGCGCCCAGAACCCAAGCAGCACATGTGCTGGCTGAGCAAGAGAAGGCTGTGCACACAGCGCAGTCGCTCTGCATAAAGGAAAGTGCTGACCGTGCCCAGCCTTTAGGAAGCGACAGAGTTCAAGGATGAACAAACCTCCCAAAGCATTTAGGGACTGAGCAGTAGTTGTGGAGGTGCGGTTACCAGAGTGAAGCTGTGCTGATTGGTGTGGTTCAGAAGCCTGGTTCACACATGAGGTGACTGACACGACATTGTCATTGATGGTTTCCGGTATTTACTCATGACTGGTCAAAGTAGTCACTTGTTTTCTGGGATTTGGAGACAAGCACACGGAGGCATGCTGCCT